TATTTTCAGGTCTGTTTTTCAAAAAAAAAATTTAGTTTTTTTTTAAAATTTTAAAAAAGGTGCTAAAAGTGTGCTTTTAAACCTAAAAGAATTCAAGGATCCCATTTCTAAAGGCTTATTTACACGTTTATACTTTTATTTTTCGAACCCCCTGAACGAAAATCCTGGATCCGCCACTGCTTATAAAACTACAAGAAGATATGTGTAAAACTAAAAAGAAAGGAAACGTACGGAAACATTGATCCAAGTAGGACTCTTCGGTAACTGGTGCAAGACAAATCGGGCACGGGTTTGGGTCGGAGGCCGGTGGGTCCGCCGCGTTTCCGCCGTCTTTAGCCATCGACAACTGCCAAAATCTATCGGAAACGTTCTGAAAGAACTCCCGCAATTTCCCCCTTTTTCCTTTTTTTTCCTCCTTTTTCTAAATTAGCCCCAAGAAGTTTTGTTGAATATTCTTTTAAGTCACAAGTGTTCCAATAAATATCGCATCACTTGTTAGAAAGAAACAAAATTAATAACTTAAAGATCCATTTCATTTTATGGGAGGTTAAAAAAATGAAATTATAATTTTGGATTCGTAAATTTAAATATGATATATGTCATCATTTTTTTTCTATTAATATGTATGATAGTAAGTCATCTTATCATACTTATTATCATCTTTGATGTTTTTCGCTCTACTAGTTCGATTTGTTAACCTTCCAAAAGTTATTAAACTTGAAGTTATGCTAACTTTAGAAAGTTCAAGAATCACTCATCTCTAAGGCACTCTCGAAAATCACCCCTAAGTTATAAGGTCCATTGACATATCATTTAAATAACCTGCTTTTAAAAAACATAGGCTCTGGTACCAGTTCAATGTTAAATAACTATTCCTACTACCAGACTAATAAGGGCAAATCTCATCAACCATACCAGCTTGAGTTCAACAAACTGAAACCACATTGTCCAAATTTTCAATTCACTAAACAGACATGAAGTATAATAAACTAACAAAAGACAACTTTCTTTGTTCGCTGCTGAAGTTCCATCCTACGTTGTTGCAGTTCACCAACTTGAGCCTTTAACATCTCAAGCTCTTGTTTTATCGCTTTCATTTCCGTCTGGGAGGAATTCATCCAACTCTTGCGTAAACCGCTGCTGACTTTCATTATGGTCTGTGACTTAGTTCTCTGGTAACTTGAACCATCTGAAGTCAGTAACCTCATCATATTGACTTGCTCAAGAAGTATAAATTGTGTCCTGATGTTATCTGGCAGCCTATCATTCTTCAAGGCATGTATTTGCGCTTCCTGTGATAACTTATGGTACTCCATTTTTCTGCATATGCTTCCTCTTTCTTCTTCTGTTAGGTCAGGATGTTCCTGCAATAAGTCATTTCATTTCAATTTCCAAGAAATGCTGAATCAATTTTTTGAGATTGGAGGAAAAGAGAAAATGTGTTATTCATACCTTGAGGTACATGTCTATCGACCTATATAGGTTGTCATTACAAAATCTTGCTTCTTTTGGCAATGCATTTACAAGAGAGTCAAAGCTTCTTGCTACAACGTTTTCGTCCCTTGCTATGAGGGCGAGGTAGTCGTTCACTAGCCTCCCGACAACACACATTCTTGACTTGGGATTATTTGATGCAAGAGAAACATAAGCTTCTACCACTTGAACAACAATATCCACGTCGAAAAGAGTTGTCCTGTTCCTGACTAGAAGGTCTTTAGCACTGCATTTTTCCATCATGAGAGCTATTCTTGTCTTGAGCTGATCTTTTAATTTGGGATTGATATTCATAATTTGCCCAATCTTGTAAAGATGAAGCAGAAAATTGCTGGAAACTGAGTCTTCTTCAGCAGGAAGCACCCTTATCAAACATTCAGTTGTCACTCTTTGTAGCTGGATGGACAATTCATGATCTTTCGATTTCTCTTGTGAAACTGTGATTTGAGAAATCCACTTCTTTGTCCATTGAGCTATACATGACCCCACAAGCTCTGGCTTAATCTTTCTCTTTTTGATCAATGAAATTACTTCGATAAAATGATCTATCCGAAGGGATGAAAGATCATTGAAAAACCAATTGCCACACAACTTCACCAACTTGGTTGTATCATCTGCTGTAACATTCACTAACACTTCATTGTCTCCTATACTACTCACTCCAGTATCTGAGCAAGCTTTCCAAGAAATGGCTTCCGTGCAACGTTTGACAATGTGCAAGTCTTTAGACCATGACGAAACTGATTCACAGCTTTTCAAGATCCTAAATGTGTCTTTCCATGAAGAAAGGATTACGTAGCTAAGGAACGCCTCTGCTTTAGAAATTAGATTTCCTTGGTGAAGTTCATCATTCATTTCCAAGAAATGAGCAGCACAATACAGTGGGGCAACATTTGAAGCTGTAGCTTTGATCTTCAGTCCATAACAAAATTTCACTACTAATTCAAAGATTTTAGCCCCACCAGGAATTGTATCAATCTGAACTCTAGTATAGTTGTTCCCATTCCTTTCGAATACCAATCTGTTAAGGTATCCACTTCTTGAAACCACGGAAAGCTGAAAGTTGACAAGAATAACTTAAAGAAGTTCCATAGAAAGCGTAGTTAAACTTCATAACACAAAAATATAACTATAAGAATGCCTATTCCATCTAGTTTACCAAATATTAGTCGAAAAATTGGAAAGATCAGTCATATAAAAAGCAGAAAGCTAATACATGGTGCGATTTTGAACTTTATATATTTGGGACTTTCCTTTCTATTAGAGAAATGGACAGTGTAGCTGTGTACCTTATGCAAGTGGAAGCTTTGGTCTCTAATTTCTACTATCAAATCACTTGGTATTTTTGTTTGGACAAACCTGCACCAGTGTTGCCACATTCATTAGCCACTGCAGAGGAATAAAACTTAAATCACTATCACTTAAACAAAAACAAAAATCAGATACACTCTACCAGTTCTTGTTCCTTCTTTCCACAGACTCTGCCACCATACTGCCACTTGCTGGATAAATCACACAGTGATTTCTCTTTTCGACAAATATAGATTCACCAGTTACTGGATTTTCTTTCACCATATCTTCAGCAGGTATACTATCCCTTTAGTTTACTCTGTTCTGAACTATACAGTATATTCTTCTTTTGCAATATTATATAATTCCATCACCATAGTGTCCCTTTCATGCATTGAATTTTTAAGAGTGCTAATTAATTTAGGAATTTTAGGAACCAGTCTTTCTTTTAGTCCTTCAGACAACAATCATTTTCTTCCTAAAGGGGTGTGTAATACAACTGACTCGAAACACAAAATTTGCATAACAGACACAGTATTTACACAAATATAATATCAACAGTACTTATCAATGTCGTTTTCTATTTCTCTAATGATCTTTTTTCACCTAAACTGAACTTCCATCTAATGGACTTTGTCAAGAAATTAAATCTACCTGCCAGGATAGATAAGAGGTAAATTTCAAGTTGTTAAATTTAAAGGTCCATGAACATAATATTTCACAACACTTCGTTCCAACAGTCATGACAAGAATCATGAGTCCTCAGTTCAAATTTCAGTGACAAAATATTAGGTGATTCCTTTCCATCTGTTCAAGCTTAGGTGGACAGAATTACCTGTATATGTGGTAGTGGAAGGTAACAAATAACCCCTGGAAATAGTCGAGGTGCGATCAAACTGGTCTAACATTACGATTATATATATATATATATATATATATGTAAATGAGTGGCAGAGATGTAGACAGGTGGTGAAGAGTACACGGTACTACTCAAGTGGATGATCTTGAATTGAATCTTTCATGGCTCAACTATACAACTACTCCTATTAATGGCTCAACTACTATTAGTCCCCAAAAGAATAACCAACCACAAAAAAGAGTGCAGGACACAGCAATTATGACTATATCTCACACACAGTATATATGATAGAAATTGAAATGTGGTATTTATGATATAGGAATATTTCTGTTTACTGATATTTCTTTGTTTCCCTTCATTGATGAGGTTTTTGATATTTTTGTGATGAGCATTATGTGTCATATTCATATTCAAAGTAGTAGTATACTTTCTTCTCTATTGGAATGTTTACCTGGCATTAGACTATTCGTTTAGTACTTACTTTCATTTTAATTTTAACAAAATATGTATTACTACATTACTATTTACGGACTAAAATTTTATAGAAATTTTAGCATTACCAAGACGCATTATAATACAATAGAAGAAAATATTTCTAAATAAATCGGTAAAACATTTTCTTCTGTACTAAAAACCACTATGTGATAAATTTTCATGACAATTTTCCAAAAAGGTTGCTCCCTGTGAGCAAGTTTCCAATTTGATGCAAACTACAGGATATAATAGTAGCATGGCAAACAAATTAAACAGCAAGGACCAAATACTTGGTCTTCAAATACAAAACAAATTCTTTAGTTTGGACAGGCAATGGGGGTAGAGTGCTGAGACAAAGGTGAAATCGCGTGGATAAGCCGATTTCAGAGACGTGGATCCAAACTTTCCATTCTGTAAAAGTAGCCCAGTTTGGTAAGCTATGCCCTTAGCAAGTCTTAACAATGGAAAGAACAAAAAGACATACACACAAAAGAACTAAAGTATGATGCAAAATAAGGCCTAAAGCTGCACAGAGGTCCTGAAATCAACAGCAGCATTGCTCCTAGTCTTCTCAAATTTGGCCTCTCTCTCCTACCATCTACAAGCAAAAAAGAGAATAAGTTTAGGGAGAGACACATTTCTTTAATGGTGACTATGAATGATAATTATTTCAACGTACAAAAATCAAAACAATACAAAGCTCATTCATAGTCCAAAACTAAGCAGAATGATTGTTCATAGATCAAGAAGCAATATGGTTAAATGACATAATCAGTTGTGCTATAATGGCCAATATGGTTAGCATAAGAAAGTGGGGAAGGGCATAGGTACAACTATTACATGCAATTCCACAGTAAGTACTTTGTACTGAAGAGGTACTTACCAAGCTGAAGATTCTGATCTAAATACCCCTTAAAGGACCTGTTGTCCTTTTTTTCACAACTCCTTCAAAAATCCCGTCAGATCCAAAAACACAATTCAAGTTTTGATGATCAATTGGACCTGGTAGCTGGAATGAAACAGAAAATTCTCCCGGTGGACATAGGTTTTGAGTTTGCATCTTAAAAACCATGTTGTCCCTGCGAACCATGTTCTCTCCAGTCTCGCTCACTCCTTTTATGACGATTGCCCCATTAGGTCCAACATCACAGCGAAACACTCCTGTAACCACATGAACGAGAAGATCTCTTAATCATCAATTGGATTCATATGGATGCAGTTTGAAATTCATTGACCACATAAAAAGAACAGATTAAATGATGGACTACGATCAGTTAGAGGAAACATAGAAAGCCCTTCTGTGGAATCAAGACAAGAGCAGCCCAATGTTATAAACAAAAACATGCATTAAAAAAACCAAGGATTTATTGATGTGAGATAATAAAGTTCCACACTTAAAATATAACACATCCACATTAAGCTAAAAAAGCAAGCATTTATTGGAGATGAGGTCTTTACGTCTAAACCTCCTGGTTTTTTGGATATCACTCATTCTTCATGCATTGATTTCATATTCAAGTTTCAGTATGAAATGAAGGGACATATTGAGAAAAAGTAAACCACAGATTTTATCCGAGTAAGGTGCAGTATGCAGCATATTTATCAGCAAGTTATCCCACCGTGTAGTATATGGGGTAACTTATCCCATCACTATGGCAAAAATGATGGGATAAATAATCCAAGAACTACCTGATACCTCAAACCAAGCATGGGATAAAATAATCCTACATTTTATCCCAGAATTATTATACCTTATACCTCACATCAAATGATTCCTAAGAGTTATAAAAAGATTTGATAATTTTCTACTTAAGAAAATCTTACTCATATGTAGAACTTACTTTCATCCCTTGCGACACCGGGGAGTGAAACACGAAATACATAGTCATCCTCGGATTCAGCAATATCAACTGATCCAATAAGTGGTCCAACCTTTCCCAATAAAGCAGATCCAGTCAGTGCAACCCCACCATTAGCATAATTTATGAGATTATCCCACTCCTCTCTGGCTGGACAAGCAGTGAAAAAAATCATTGCAGGCTGACCCCCAGCATGCTGCTGAGAGCTGATATGCTTGGAATCAGCCTCAACTGGGACTGAACCAGTATTAATGTCTGGTGACGCTGAAGTATGATAACTGTATGGTAGAGGAGGGCCAGTATATGGAACACAACTTATGGGGGCCACATTAAGTGGTTCAGGATGCAGCGGAGTTGAACCATTATTTTCACCATGATTCGGCAAAGAAGTCTGAGAAGCTCTGAAATGCACATGAAAAATGCAACATTAGTTTCTATTATGATAATCGCTAGAATAAAAAAAATACTCCTAACTTGACATATAAAAAGTTCGCTCTCCGTAGGACCTAAAACCAATAAAATAAGAGCCTCACTGGAGTAAGCAAATACAGTTCATATGATGCAAAAGTACAAAATGGTTTCTTTACGATTTAAGAAAAAGTTACATTTCGTTTTGTGTGCCAGTGGAAGCACGTGCAGGCAAGAGATAGAGAGATCAAAATAGAAGTACCCTCTTAAATGGAAGCATCACCATGATTGCATATGAAGAATAACTCATTTTCTATTCACAGTCTGTCCTTAGTTCTGTTTTTCTAGCTGAATTATGACAAATCTTTTGGCAGGTCTACACCATTGCTTTTCAAGCTTATACCTGCTGTAGTTCACCTTGGTGTGCTGCTTGGGTGGTTCCCATCTGATAGTCCAAGTGAGGTAATTACTCCCTTCGTGGCAGCCACGAGGACAAAGATTCGCCATAAGCACTAGTTTAGGCTCATGGTTTGACTGGTTTTCAGTTATTATTTTTTCACATGGTCTTTCTTCCCTTATCAATGACAAGTTTGTGTATGTTAGAATTATTAAAAGTATATTGTTACTATTATTTTTTAATTAGACCTTGTTAGATTTTATATGTAGTAAATGTCTAATGCACTATCCAATGTCAGATCTTGTTCTATTAAACAAAATGCATCTTTTCATTCCAGTTCCATGTAGGATTAAGAAAATGTACCTTCCGTCCTAGGCAATTTCACTGTGATCAATTAGTTCTAGGCAAAAAGACAATTCATTTTGGTACCTGTTACAAACCTATGGTCTCACTCAACCCCAAAAGCTAGCTCATCGACCTCCAATCCCTAAGAGAGCCGATGTGGGACTCAACACCCCGCACACCCAAGACTGGACATCTAGAGCGTAGACTAAATAAGATGGGCACTCAACATTGGGAATAATAATTAAGATGCTTCTCGCTCTAAAACCATGATATGGGAGTACCCTTTCCAAGAGCAGCAAAATACACAGAACAAACCCCAAAAAAAGGACCAACAAACAATGAATCAGCCATACATTCTTCAACTGTTTTCACAAATGAAATATTGTATCAAGAAAAGTGAAAACTCTTCTATACACCTTAATAGCACACAACTATTGACAAGATTTTATCTTTCCAGCATACCCTTAACTGAACTTACTAAAAATTAGCTCTGCACAAACAACTGGGTAGCTGCATTTAAAAGATTTTGACCAGAAAAATGGTTACTTTCAGCATTACGAAAGTGCCCAAAAGCACTCAAAAAAATATGAAAATCAACATCTTCCTTAGGTGTATGCAATATTTTAGGGTTTCTACTCTCACCATATTGTGTAAAATGAAATCTAAACTAAACAGCTATGTAAGATATGAATGAAAAAGGTAGACTACTGATACCTCCAAGGAGATTCCATCAGAAAGTTGTTGAAGAAAAAAATTGAGAAATTCAACTGTGAGGTAGATTCCGGCGATACCCAGATGCAGACAAGCGTTCAACTCTGATGGAGACCTTGGGATATCTGGTAAAAATTTAGCGAGCGGCAAATACCCAAAGATGGAAATTTATTTGAATTTCTTTTCCTCAAGAGTTCTTCTGTACTTTTTGTTTTAGGGATTCTGTATTTATAGAGTGTTGAAATCCCTTGCTGACTTTTGTTCTGGTGGACTATATATACAAAATTAATGAATGTATTAGCTCTGTATTAGTAATATTTTTCTAATAGAATCTATCAAATAATTTGAAAAAAATGTAACTAGATAATAAGGATGTTTTGCTTTTTTGTATAAGATCTAATATATAGGCAGACATTTAATCATACATTAATTTAAATTCAAATTAGATAATTTTTTATTCAAAATTTGAAAATATCTTGCATGTATTTTCAAAAGCTTATTAGATAATTTGAAATTCTGACCTTCTAACTTTTTCAAGTTCTCAAATATTAGCTTGGATCAACTTTTAAATTCTTGAGACTTCAACTCATAAATACATTTTCGCGACACAACTTTAATTTTTAATATTCTCTATGTGATTTCTTAATTAATTAACATCTTTTAAAGCAGAACTCTTTAATATTTCTCAAATTTATTTATTTTTTTAAATCTATAACCTAATAATTGAATATGTACATTTCAACCATTCACAAGGAAAAATAATGATTTCTTAAAGAGTTTTTTTTTTTAATAATAAGTTTTTGTCATTCATTTAAGTTTTGGTGGATAAAAATTTTTTTGTTGATAAAGATAACATATATTTATTAGTATAAACTTAACATTTTTTCCTTATCTACCTAAGTTTGGGGAATGAAGTTAATTATACGCAATTTCCTTCTTAAATTTATGTGAAAAAATTACTATTGATCAAGCAGTGGCAGATCCATAATTTTCATTCAGAAAGTTCGAAAAATAAAAGTATAAACGTGTATATAAGCCAACAAAATAAATTTTCAAGGAACTAATAGTATATAGTTTTAGTGGCGGACCCTTGATTTTTTTGGGTTTAAAATCACACTTTTAGCATGTTTTATAAAATAAAAAACTAAAAAAAATGTGAAAAACGAAACTGAAACATAAAAAAAAAACTGAAACTGGAAAAGAAAAAAATAAAACACTAGTGAAAAAGGGAACTGAAAAATAAAAAAATAAAATGTTAACGCAAGGATTTGAACCCTTGACGTGAAGCTTAGTTTCCAGGAAACCTGCCACTAGGCTATTTGTTTCTCAATGTCTTTAAAAGGGTTCAAAATATATATATCCATATAAATACAGAAGATTACCTTATATATACGGTGTAATTTTTTGCCGGAGTTCGAGTGAACCCCTGAAACCCACATGGATCCGCCCTTGTGATCAAGTGGTCAATACCTTTTATCTCCAATCTCGAGGTCATAAATTTGAGTTAACAAAGAGAATAAAGTTGAGGAGCCTACAAGGAGGAAACAAAAAAATAATAATCTTTGGTTATTGTTTTCTCAAAGATTAAAAGTATTTTAAATTGTTCACTTATTGTATAGATTTTAAATATATAAATGTTATTTAAAATTGTTTGAAGTACTTATACACATATATTCATAGTTCGAGTTAAGTGTTCAGATCATCATATTCTAAACATCTTCGCATAAATTGCGACAAATAAAAATATAATTTATTTTCATATTGTATGAGGAAAATCATATAAACGCACATAACATTCACAGAGTGAACATAAAGGTAAAATAATCAAATCTTTGCAAGGGCATCTTCGAGAAAGAAAGAGAAAACAAGTTAAAGAATCAATTATTTTTTTAATTCGATGACATAGATGAAAAAGCAATGAGAAATAAATATAAAATAATAGAAGAGTCAAGTTTGCAGACAAATTCATATGAACATTATATTAACTTTTATACTTCAAGTGTTAATTATAGCTTTTCTATTGACTAACGCCTTAAAATTATAAGTTACAAATAATTTATTTACTTCACACATTAGTAAGGTACCATTACACTAATGTACCCCTTTTTAGAACATCTAGGTAATTTTTACTTTACTTAAGCTTTTGTCTAACATATTGATCCAAGAACTCCTTGGGAGTTAAAGTCTGAATTCTAAGATACGTTCAATGAATATATAAAATCTTGACTATTTCATTTATTTTGCATGTTATCTATTAATATTCAAATTACTGGTAAATATTTTTTTTAAAATTAAATTAAAATACGTATTCTTGACCTCATAAATTTAACTGTATTATTTTTTAATCTTAGCTTGCAGTATTTTAATTTAATCTCTTAACGGATCTAGTGATCCCATAGGGCAGAGAAATTATACTCCATTATTGTAAACAAGAAAACGCGTTTAAAAGGTACACAAAAAAAAGCCAGTCTTGAAAAAGCGGGATCTTCAACTTCAATATTCTGGAATGGCATGGCCTTCAATTTCTCATGCTTCAACGCCACTGTAATCTCACTGATTCTCATCATCACTATCCTCTTCTTCTTCATCGTCCTTCCACTTCCCCAATATTCCCCAAATCCAATTCACAAATCTCCACTAATTCCCCACAGGTTTCTTTTGAATGCCACCATTTTTGAAGAAAAATCCGACCATTTTGTGTGTTCGACCAGCAATTTCACTGACTCCAATGGAATCTTTAACTACTTTTCCTTGCACTATTGTCTCTTCCAAGAAAACCCGTTTCTTTCCATCCCATTTTTCGCCCTCTGTGTATTTCTACAGTTCTACATTCTTATCAAGACTGCCCAAGATTACTTTTCTGTTGTGGTTACTAAGCTTTCTACGCATCTTAAGCTGTCGCCTTCTATGGGTGCAGTGACCCTTTTGGCTTTAGGTAATGGTGCGCCTGATGTTTTTGCATCTGTGGCTGCAGTTAGGGGAGGTCAAGCCAGGACTGGGTTTGGCGCGATTCTTTCAGCAGGGACTTTTGTCTCTGCTTTTGTTGTTGGGTTCGTGGCGATTTACGCGGCACCTTTTGCTGTTGATCCTGCTCCATTTGTGAGGGATGTGATGTTTTATTTGACTGCTGCTTTGTTTCTTTTTTATGTCTACTTAAGTGCTGAGATTTTCCTCTGGCAAGCTATTGGGTTTGTTGCGTTTTATCTCTTCTTTGTTGGATTTGTATTTTGGATGGACTTGGGGATGGGTGGTGCCAAAGAGAAGGGGGGTAAGTTTGGAGGTGAGGTGGGTTTGGTTAGAAGTGATGAAGTTCATATAGGGATTGTTGAGTTGGATTCTGAAAAAGGCAAAGTTATGGGAACTCTAGAAGATGGAAAGAGGCATACTACAGGTTCATCGCACCTTTTTGGAAAGGTTTGTCCTAAATCTTGCCTATATTTCTTGGTTCTCTTTTTCTTCATTAAATTAAGCACACATGGAAATGCAAGTTCAGTGAATTATTCATCTTAGCTGGCAATTGTATAGACATTTGATGGATGATTTATTCAGCATCTTGTAACCAAGTTAGGGGGTTAGAATTTCTTAGTTTTGTGGTTTGTGACCTTGTCTGTATGCCTGTTGTGCTCTAATTATCAACAAACCAATTGGTATGAAATTCTTTAAGGAGAACAAGATTGAACATGCGATGGACCAAAACGACAAAAGAATAAAATGAGAAATTGATGCAAGAGATAAAGGGCTACTAGGTTTGTTGTCATTCCTCCTGTGTAGGAACTATTTGATTCTGTTGTGCATTGCTGTGAAATATTTGTAACCCCTTTGAATTATCAAGATCAAACTGCAACCTTGTACTAGCTCCAAAGTCTTGACAGAGGAAATGTTTGGTGAGTTAGAGTCTTGTATTATCAACATGACAGAATCACATAAACAATCCATCCTATTACATAGCAATAAGAAAAAAAACAGTACTTTATGTTGATTTATGTTACTTCACAAACTTCGTGGTATATGCTGCCCTCTAAAATTTTGAAGCACATCTGATACACAGTGCGGATGATTGCTGAAAACTGGCCCCACATTCTGTGCCATAAGTTATATCTTCTCCTAGAAGTATTCTCTTTGGGAATTAACAATGCTGAACGTCGGTTGTGTTGACCATAATGGTCTTGACAAACAATGGTGCAAAGCTAACTGACTAGATGCTTCTAGCACCCTCAAAAGCAAACCATCTGAGAATGGCAGCTTTTTCAAGGTTCAGAATGATTAAGTGGGGAAACTCAGCAATGACTGTAGCAGGTGGTTGCAAATTTTGGAACTAGGGAAATTATCTAAATAATATTTGAGTGTTAGTGTTGAATTATGCGACAAAACCAGCTTTGGCTTCAGTTCTGTATTATTTCTTCAATCTTGGAGTGTACCAAGCCAGGATGTAACCGCCGATTAAGTAAGATAATTGAATAGAGTCATGATGGAGATAGGGTTAAGGCAGAGCTATTCGTCGTTGACTAGAAATAATCATCCAGCATTCTGGTTAGTCTTATCCTGCATCTTATGATGACATGTATAGATGATTTTCCTTCCTTATGTGTTTCTCGAACTTCCACTATTCATGCAGACAAGCAATTTTTTTTTTTGATAACTGAGAAATCCGTCTGTGACCCGCCCTTTGGACCAATCACAGCCTTCTAAACTTGGTGGATAATGGGTCCGCCCCTCTACCCTTCTCCACTTAAATACCAGGCTTCGCTTTGCATGGTGTGGGGATTGAACCTGCGACCTAAGCCACAAATCCTCCACCTTTTGCCACTTGAGCTAGGCCTTGGGGAAGCAAATTTTTACTCCTTCCGTTCCTTGTTACTTGTCCATTTTGCATTCTGCATTCCCTTTAAGAAATCATTAAGTAAGTGTTTATTTAACTAAATTATCCTTATAAATGGTACTTTGAAAATTTAAATTGGCTAGTAATACTTCAATTAGTTTGGCTAACGGTTACTTAATGATGAGAGTAAAAATGGAAAAAAATAATTGATTCTCTCTTGCTTTTGCCTAAGTGGACAAGTAAAAGGGAAAATTTACTTTTGGTATATTGGACAAGTAAAAGGGAACAGAGGGAGTCCTAGATACTTGAATGGTAAGTTGGAGGATTTTGGGGTCTAAATCTTTCCCTATTTAGTAATTTCAGAATATATGGAAAGTGATTTTTCTTGTTGATGCATACAACAACATATGCTGTGAATAGTTGGGCATCTAGTGCTTAAATATCCTTTTAGTACAGAACTCAAAGACTCTGTAACAGATAACATCAAATAACAAAAATGCTCCCAAGCACTTTTCGCTAGGTGGCTTCTAGAGATCCCTTCTGGGTGTCTAGAGCCCCTTCTCTGGTGGTTCTCTGCCATTGGAATCTCTTCCTTTTCTTGCCTTTTCTTTCAGGTAGCATTTAGAACATGGTGAACAGGTTATATTTCAGACGGAATCTTATGATCTACCAGAATCAATATCTGCTTCAGAGGTATGGTTTGAGTGGGTGGAGAGTACCATGATGTCTATCAGGCATATGATATTGAGCAGGGAGCTTTACTTTGGTTGTGCAAAAGATTAAAGGAGGCTTCTGAAAGCAGGGGGGAGAACTTCAAATCACGGAGATGCAGAGACATTTCGACATATATTTATTGCTCCCTGAAGTTCAATAAGTACCGTCAATTTATTTCTGTTATCCCACTGAAGGGAGTAGATCAGTAATTATTATTCCAGAAAATGCATTTAATGAGGGATGGGGAAATCTAGTAATAAAAGTGGAGAACTTCATTGAGAGAAAAGTAGAGAAGCAAGGGGAACTTATTACAAAAAGGGAATTAAATCTCTATACAATCATTGGGAAAGGGGGATTACGAGGGAGCTCTTCATAACAATAATGTAGCCTGAGTACGCCTTAAATGGTGCAGTCCCCAAAGTGACACTGGCCACTACATAGATGGATGTCAAAATCTAGAATAAACTGCATGTCCATGCTTTTCGAGTGCAAGGAAAGAAATGAATAAGGGGCAAGCAACTGATAAACAGATGAGCATGCCTAAGACGTTGGATTGCACTCTTGGTGGAAGTTATTTTTATATTAAGCCATAAAAATTATGATGACCATAACATTTCTCATTGCTCTAAACTCTAAATTGATAAATGTAATATCCTACATACCAACTATCTTTTGATAAGTGAGTGTGTTTTATGTGAGAATATATTCTCAGCTTTCTACTTACACCATGGAACTCTAGTATTGCGTGCTTTTGAAGTCTTTTAGGTGCTTCTTGAGATCCCCTGCATACTGACCAATTTATCTGCAAGGATGCCTATTTTAGGTTCAGATATGAGATATTTGACCATCTGGGTTCTACCTAGTTGTTTCTCATGGGGAGTTCTAGTCAAGGAGATTCTTTTCTCCATTGGTTCAGATGTATCTTGATTTTGCTTGGTTATCTATGTTAACTTCTGTATTTCAGCTATATTTTTAAAGAAAAGTTCTTATCGAAGCCAGTTGCTTCTGCTTCTTTTTGCAATCCATATTGTTGACTAGATCATTCATGAAGAATCCATCTGGCACACTCAAAATCCATTTTTTTATTTTATGAATTTTGATGGTGTTCACAGCATCTCAGTTTGTAGTCTGTAGCTATTTTAATATTTTCATTTTGACATTTTAATTTTTCTTTATTGACAGGTCTCAGTTATCTGGAAACTTCCTGTCTCGATGCTCCTTAGGCTCACTATACCACGGACTGCACCTTCTGAATGGAGTAGATTCTATTTATCTGCCAACATTGCTCTCTGCCCCCTCCTACTTCTGTTTTCCTGCAAATCTTTCGTGCCATTAAATCATCCAATATCTTTCCTACTCTCAGACACTCATTTGCCTCTTTGGTTCATCGTACTCTGTGCTACTTGTTCTTTGGCTATTCTACATGTCATTGTTGAAAAGGAGGCCCCTAAAACTGAGCAAATGCCTGCAATTGTTATAGCATTTGTGATGAGTGTATTTTGGATCTCCACAGTTGCTGGGGAACTTCTCAACTGTCTTGCAGTTCTAGGAGAGCTTCTGAAACTGCCTGCTGCCTTTCTTGGTTTAACGGTGCTTGCATGGGGAAACTCAGTCGGTGATCTTGTTGCAGATGTTGCTGTTGCAAAGGCTGGCCAGCCGGCGATGGCCATGGCTGGATGTTTTGCTGGGCCAATGTTTAACATGCTTTTTGGGCTTGGAACTGCTTTGGTTATGCAGACAGCAAATGTATATCCAGAAGCTTATGAGCTTCATCTCCATGTGAGTATCGTGGTTGCTTTTGTTTTCTTGCTATTGAGCTTGATGGGATCTTTGCTTTTAGTGACTTGGAATAGGTTCCGGGTGCCAAGATTCTGGGGATTTTGCCTAGTAGGACTCTATGTTGTTTTCATGGTAATAAGCCTGATCATTGCCACGTTCTCTGCCTGAGCTTTGGAGAGACAGAAGTGTTGGAAAGTCGCCACATATAAGACGTTGAGCAATAACAGTTGATTCATCCATCACTGGTCTGGAACCATGTGGGGGCTGCTAAACTCTTGAAGATGGATGAAGTAGGTGGCAGTTATTAGAAGTGCGCCTTTACCACAATATCTAGGAAATGGTTATGTTGATAGCCTTCATTCACTAACCAGTTAGAGATCCTATTGGCTTCCATTCAAGAACAAAATAATTCATTTTTTTCAGTTCATTGTGGAGTGAGTAAAGTGAGTTGGAAAGCATTATCCCCTAGTTGTATAGAAAATTTCTGGTCAACAAGAAGTTTCATGTAAGCCAGTACTTTTTTTCTTGTGAAATTGAACAGAATTTTAGAGTAAAATGCTTAACTTCGTATTTATGCAGAATTACTCCAATCATATCATATTCTTAAAAGCTTTCTCATTGTTGGATACTGAATTTGAATGAAAAATAATCTTTCATTCAAATTCAGACGGATCGATAGTTCCTTTGTAAGCGCTTGTTAATTAGCAGATTTCGTTATTTTGAGCATAGGGAAATCCATTTTCGTCTCTTTTGAGTCTGCTCTTACAAAAATGTTAATGAGAAATCGAAATTACTTGCAATTGAACAGGTAAGGTGGTTGCATTCACACCAAATTACTACTATCATAGACATGAGCTAGGTTGCAATTTGTACAGGTACTAACTACCTAATTTACAAGACACTAATTTACCTATTCTATTGAGATTATGTTTCTGCTTTCAATACGATTCCCTCGAGAATTCCATCAGTGCCAAAAATACCAGAAAATTCTTGAGGGTCAACTGGGCCTGGCAGCTTGAAAGAGATGGTGAAATCTCCTGTTGGACATAGGTTTTGAGTTTGCATCTCGAATACTTGAGAGTACTTGTGGACTGTCCTATCACCAGTTGTCATTCCCTTAATCAACACTTTACCATCAATCTCCACTTCACAAGTAAATTCTCCTGCGTTAACCATAATTTTTTAACAAATTAGTCCTGATAGCAAATCCAAAAGCATCAGAAGAATGCAGTACAATTAAGTAGTGAAAGAACCGTGTAACTTACTTTCATCTCTCTTTACTCCAGGGAGCGATACACGGAACAAGTAAGCATCCTCGCTTTCTCCTACATCCAAGAGCCCGAGAACTGGTCCTATCTTACCCTTTGCTGCACTCCCAGCCACTGCAAATCCACTTTTAGTAGCAGCAACTATGTTACTTAGCTCCTCCTCAGAAGGGCGAGAAGGAAGGAAGACAATACTAAGCTCTAAGTCCTCAGAGTTGGTGTGCTTTGATGATGGACCCATTGACTCTTCCGCCAGAGGACTGACATCCTTAAAGAGACTACTAAAAGGAGTACCATCAGATTTTGTAGAGCTATCTGGTGGCGCATCAGTAAACTGGCGGACACCATCATTCTTCAAGAGACTTCTACAAAGTGAAGTGTCAAATTGTCCATTGCAATGAGGTGGCATATTACTACATGAGCCATCACAAGCATCCTTCAAGAGACTACTAAAAGGTCTAGTGTCAGATTGTCCATTGCTTTCAGGTGGAACACCATTAAATGGTTCATCATAAGCATCCTTCAAAAGACTAGTAAAAGACACATTGTCAAGTGGTAAATCATTAAATGGTTCAGTACATGAAGGCGTCTCCTTATATGGTAGGCTACTAGCAGCTAATGATGCATATTGGAGGATATCATCGGGATTGGACATCTCCGTTTTTCGAATATTACTTAGAGCTTCGTAATCAACATCGGCTTGTGATTTTGTGCAATCTTTGTCCATGATCAGATGTTCTAGACCAGTGAGCTTCTTGAACCTCTTAACACTATCTGGTTCAATATAACTGGTATCAGGGTCATTGATGAACACAATGTTTGCAATAACATTATACACATCACAGCATAAATGGGGATGCAGGCTGGGAGGAAATAGATCACAAAACCGAGGATAAGCTGCTGGTTGTTTGCGGTAAAGAGTAGGAAGCTTTCCATGAAAGTACTGATGCAGCCACGGTTGTGCCAGGACAACAGACCGATCTGCCTTTCTCAGTGCATGATAGTAAACCCTTTCTACTTCTATGGTTCTTAGGCATGCACCAGCTAGTTGATTGGAACTGTATGGAGGTAGGCCTAGACTTTTTCTTTGCAAAACTGACCTTTTGGGATATTCAACCAGGAGATCTGGTCCAAAGTAGGTTCCAATGATAAAGTAAAGGAGGAAAAACTGATCATCCGTTGGAACCAATCCAGTGAAGTTGTTGTCCATGCTCGATGGAAAGAGTAAGAACTCTGAGATTAATCTGTTTCAGATGAAATGAAACAGATAAAAATACTGCACTCTAGACTTTACCTTAGGTTAAAAACTCGGTTGAAACATATAAAATGAAGACAGTAAGTAGTGAAAAAAAGTAAACATAAGCAATAGAGGTTGTTTACCCCAAGATTCTGTAAACATACGCAATAGAGGACGACAAAGACACACAAAGGATTAGTAATTTAGATTCTGTAAGTTATCCATGAGGATATTTTTGTACATAAATGCACCAGAGCATACTTGCATTTTCCAATAATATAGTTTAGGCTGCCTATCCGTTTTGACACCAGAGTAAAAAGATGAACAGAGATAACTTAAAATTGCTTCACTAGACTGGATTTAAGCAAAATTTAGAACAATTTCGACACTAGATCAACAAATTGGCAAGTGACAGTGTAGGTTTACTATGCAAAATCCACATCAACAACTCATTGATGATTCTTACATGCAAGAACACTTAAAAACATGATAGTACAAATCCAAAATCAGAGAAAAATTGACAAAAAAAAAAAGACACCAATTTGAAGTGTAAAATTAGGGATGTTATTAAACTAGGATATACAAAATGTAAAATAACTCTATGTTTTTCCTAAAATGAGAAATCAATAAGTGAAGTGTAGAAAGCATACCACAATGAGTTCTCCTTCTCCAGAGTGTAAGTTGAACTGCTATGTCTATTTGCTAGTGCCACAAAGAAAGCAACGAGTTTTTTCAGAAATCAGTCATCCCAATCAGTGCCACGCGTCCTTTATTTGGTTATGCAATATATACGGTAAATAAAATAGGGAAAAAAGACAAATATTTTCCGAACTGAACTATCGTAAATGACATGCAGATATCTTTCGTTATACTTTTGAGATATTAATGCCTTCGCCGTCCAAAACTAGAACATATATACCCTTTATACTAATGGACATACACGTCTCACAATCTTATTCACCGACCCGATATTTATTAAATATCGGTGCGACAGATAAGATTGCACCACGTGACCCTATTTGGTCTTTGTTAAATTAGGTCTTAGGCCTAACTCACACCCCAAAAGCTATCTCAAAGGAAGGAGGATTGTCCAAGCCTTATAAGGAGTCCACCCATCTCATTAACCACCGATGTGGGACTTTTGTCATTCTTTAACAGTCTTTCGTTAGAATGAATGACATATATGCTTTAATTTTTGGACAGCAGGAACACCAATGTCCCAAAAATAGTTTGAGGCTATATTTCTGTTTTTCTCAATAAACTAATATAAGATGAGTATTGACATGTTCTATCAAATATTAAGTTGACAACTCAGCACAAATAGGTAAAAACATTAAATTTCAGACCAAAAAAAAAGAGAGGAAGAAGGGTAAAAACAAGATTTGACTAGAGCAGGCGTCCAAGTCTTAACTCTTAAGCGTTAAAAGCCCCTTTTTCCATATTCCATATTCTCAGAAGACCAAAATTTGAAGAAAATCGGGAGCAAAGATGCATTCATTTGGGTACAGAGCTAATGCTTTGTTAACATTGGCAATCACCATTCTTGCGTTTATGTGTGGAATAGCTTCTTTCTCCGACAATTTCAATACTCCGATTCCTACAACTGAAGTTCAAGTATACCCACCTCCTTAAAAACCCTACTTGAATTCATGTTTTCCTTTTCTTAACTTTGTCGATTGTAATTAGATCCGTTGATTTTGTAAATGACCCATGTGTTTGATCGCTTGATTTTCTGCAGGTTTTGAATATCAATTGGTTCCAGAAGAAACCTGATGGGGACGATGAGGTATTTTCGTTGACGAAAGATTTGTATCTGTCGATTTTGATGAAGGGTTTTTCTGGGTTTTTAGTTTCTGGTTAATTTTTGTTGAATTTGGTATCTGAGATTGGGAATTGGAGCAAAAAACTGGTTGAACTATGATGGGTTGACCTTTCTTTTTTCTAATAATTTCTATTTTCAAATTCTTGAATATGGGTATTGCTGGATTCTTTGAGGAATCAGGAATCTATGTGATCTATGTGCATTCTTGGTAAAATTTGTCTGGTTTTTCATTTGAGAATGGAAAAATATTGAGATTTTCTGTTTTGAGGTAATATAACTATAAAACGGTTCAATTTCAATAACTAGTTTGATGCATATATATATGAACATTCTTTTGTACTATCAATTGTATTCTCTCCATTATATACCCTCTCTATCTCTTTTCTTTTGTTCAATTTCAATTTCAATTTAGGAGATACTCCTAGTTAGGCATGAGTATCAACCTAAATATTAGGTGTTTATATTATATATAAATATTTCTGTATGTATTTATATATCAATATTTGAAAATTGTAAATTGTTTTAGTCTGATTTAAAACTAACTTGTGAAAAATAATGATGAATTGTTAGTTAAGGTTTGAACTAATTTTCTCTAAACCCCCATGATATCACATTGTTCTTGAAAATACTAATAAAAGTTATGAGTTATGACTTTCTTCACCACTCAAACTCACAGGGATCAAACATGGTCACCGTGTAAACCCAACAAAAAACAAAGGTTTTCGAATGAAACTTTGATATAATATTCCATACAGATGGTGCATTAAATGATATGGCAGCGGAAAAGAATCAACGAATTCCTCGATGAAATCACAAGTAAATTGGACATCATTCATTAGATACAGACAACCAAATAAAACAGTCATACTATTAAAAAGGAACTAAGTCAGCTAACTCCTTAGAGATCCTCTTCTTCTTCTGAGTTCTTTGAGTGCCCTGAGGCATTCAACTAAATCTGCAGTTCCAGATTGTAAAGATAAAGCTATTATATGTAGTACTATTAACAAATTCCCAATTTCTTAGAATAATCTATTGGTTTTTTGGTCTATCCTAAATGTTAGAATTGCCCGTAAGTTTCCAATATTAACTTCAACAATATAGTGCTAACTAAGCTTACTCTTAGAGCGAAAGGACCGCATGCAACTTTTGAGTAAAACTCTGGAGAAAAAACAATCTTCTATTAGTATTTTCATGAATATCTATGTGCATAAAAAAACAATCTTCTGTTTTTTTAGATCTGTTAATCATTGAAATATCATCAAATAATATGCTAGCACATTATATTGCCTAAGGTGTCAGTTTATTTTCTTTATCTTGTTGATCTACATGAACTTGGTAGCTGCTCTTGTGTTAAGATTTCTAGTTACCATCGTTGATTAAGTGGTTATATGAACTTAATTTTTGAAAGAATATCATGTATACTTTTCCTTTTATGCAGGTCAGTTTGACCTTGAACATATCGGCAGATTTACAGTCATTGTTCACATGGAATACGAAGCAGGTTTACTGTCTACTTTATTTGCACCATAGTTTGGATTTCACTCTTTTAACCCTATTACTTGGGTCTGATTTTCTTCTATGTAGAGTAAGTATGAAGGTGTGGATGTATCGATGTGTATACATCTTATTCTCAATTAAGCTAATCTCTAGGACATAATATATGTATACTTTTCATCCCTGTTCTAAAACACTGGAGTTCACTAGAGTGGAGAGGAGAGGTGGTCATATTAGATGTTGATGCCACGGTCAACGCTCTGGATTACAGGATGTGGAAATTGGAAAATAGAATGTAATACACAAATTTACCAAGCTATTAGTGACTATATAAAGCAGTGTCAGATAGTTAAATCTATGCCTTCTTGTACAATTGGTTGAAGTTTGCCCAGTAGGTCCAATGACTTGGTGCAGTATTTCCTCTTTCACCTTTTCTTTTTAGTGAAAATTAAGATGAACTTGAAATGATTTCTGTTGCAGTGCTTGTGAGAAAGCTGGTTGTATTTAGTTCCCTCCCTTTTTATTTTCCTTGAGAATTTGGAGGACGGGATTTAGAGTGTCTTACAGCTTCAATATACCATATATTGAAATTCTGTCACCTAACATGTGTAACAAGAGACTGGAATAGTTCAAATAGAACAAGACTACGTGCAATAAGTTTCCTAGATGTTTGAATTCAAAGTTTTGTAGTTTTAACTTCAAACTCTTTAAGAGATATGTTGATCGGTCAGATCTCTGTTGGTTGGATTACCTTTACAGTTACTTGTAGCAATAGTGCAATTCTAATTATGTTAAAATTTGCAGGTGTTTGTATTTTTGGCAGCTGAGTATGTAACTCCAAAGAACGCTCTAAATCAGGTCAATCTTCCATTGGTTGAGAACTGCATATAATTAATATCTTCCTTGTATTACATTTACTAGTTAGATCTTATTTGAGGCTCGTGTCATTGTCTGATAAATGTATTGCAACTGAAAGTAAGGCTTAGCAGTATGTATCGACATATCTACCCTTTGCTTCTCCTTGTAAATTAACAGTCCTGTACTTTGTTGTCAGTGATAGGATTTTCCTGTAAGTATGAGTATATGCTTAGTGAAACCTCGTGGGGCTGTCTTCTCCTAATTTGAGGAGCTGGCTGTAGAAGCTCCAAGGATATGTCAACTCATTAATTTTTTAGCACCTGCTTGAGAATTTCGTTTTGTATTTTGTTTTCCTACCAGATGAGAGTTTGGTTTGATTCCTTCTACTGACATGATTGCTTTACTAACAGATATCTTTGTGGGATGGTATTATTCCCACCAAGGAACATGCAAAGTTTTTGATTCACACCACAAACAAGTATCGGTTTGTTGATCAGGTTAGTTTCTGAAGCATTTTACTTTATTCTGCATTCTTCTTCATCTCATGATTTTCACAAGTACCTTATTCCTTGTTGTAGGGAAGCAACCTCCGTGGTAAAGCTTTTAATCTAACATTGCATTGGCACGTTATGCCAAAGACAGGGAAAATGTCCGCGAACAAACTTGTGATGACTGGTTACCGCTTGCCAGAGACATACAGATGATGAATTTTTTCCTCGGTGCAATTTATCTGTAACTTTAGCCTCCACTGATAGGAAGGAGAAAATGTGCTTAAATGAGATGATGAGATGAATAGGATAATTTTGTCCCGGATAATGTCAGAATTGCTGTTTATCGGCCTCAAATTATAATATTGGTACTTTAGACCTTTGAT